CAGAGGCTAGTAAATAAATTATATTGGTAAAATATAACCTAAAAATTTTCGTTAATTCTGTATTTCTTAGTTATTTAAGTCTCTGTTATTGCAGGATATAAAATACCTACAATCGAAAACTTGGGCGCAACTCTGGTTAGTGTTCTAGTCAATAGTGATTCTTATTTTTTGGTATATCTATAATGTATTTTCGTGTGTATTTTTATTCATCTCAATTTGTATTTATATTGACTTTGGTTTAAAATTTACATTCAAGAACAAATTTTTGAAATATTGACAATTTCTATAATATTTAAAAATATTAATTCTATTAATATTTTAATAGAATTAATATCTATTAAAATAAATCACAGGTTTAGAATTTAATAATATTTTTATAGGATCAATTTGATACCATTGACTTTTCTGATAATGATATAAGGAAATTAGATGGGTTTCCTCTGTTAAAAAGAATAAAAACTCTCTTTTTCAATAATAATCGTATTGTCAGAATAGGAGAAGGATTGGAACATTGTATTCCAAATTTGGAAACTCTTATGTTAACTGGAAATATGATACAAGAACTTGGAGATTTGGAACCACTAACGCAGTTAAAAAATTTAACAAATCTCTGTTTACTTCAAAATCCAGTGTCTGCGAAGCCTCAGTATAGACAATACGTTGTATACAGATTCCCGCAGTTGAGACTTTTGGACTTCAGGAAAATTAAGATGAAAGAGCGTGAAGCTGCAGTTACATACTTTAGGAGTAAAAGAGGAAAAGAAATGGTTCGTGAAATAGCAAAGAAAGTAAAAACACAAACATCTGGCATACCTACGGACAAGCCACTCACAACTCCAGAAGAACGTAACAAAATTAGGGAAGCTATTACAAATACTTCTTCCCTTGAAGAAGTCCAGCGCCTTAGCAAATTGCTTCAAGCTGGACATGTGCCTAGTGAAGAAAGATTACAAACTGGTATGTAATTAAAAGAATGTGCTCTATTCCTTTTATGTTTCTGATTATGAAAAAAAACTCTGCATTGATTGTTCTAGGAAATACGATACCTGAAGCAATGGAAGAAGAAGATGATTAAGTCATATTGTGCATTATTTTCAGATCTAAACCAAACAAGAAAAGCTTTTTTTATTACAGTAAGTACATGACTGTATACCATACATGGAACTAGAAACAGTTTGTTAAGCTAATAAGAATGTATGTGCTACACACAAATGCATTATCATTTAAAGATGTACAAATAAAATTATACATACCTTAATTGGCTTGAAGCGACTTTATAAACGTATATCTTATAATACTAAACATTTTCGAAACTATTTGTAATGTCCATATATGTATTTATTTCAGTGATCTTTCAATAAACAAGTTGTTCAGAAAGATACTTTTTTGTATAAATTTGTTCCTCATATAAAATAATATTACTTTTAATAAATAAATACATCGTTATATATCATACTATATTACATGAAATATTTATGTATCTTGATTCGTGTGTTTACATACCTGTCCATTGAACTATGTAAGTTATATAAGATGGGATCACTAGATGTCAGTATTGTATGTTGTAGCAATTTTCCATTTTCGATTTATATTACTTTTTTTGCTGTAGTTCTATAATATACTAATAAAATGGGCAATACATTTCAAAAAATGGTTAGTAGCGATCCATTTCCACCATCAGATTCGGAGCCGACATTTGATCCGATGTACGGATTTCCTAAGGAGCGCAAAGAAAGGGGCAAGTATCTTATTCAGTTCTAACCTTTAATAGGTGCATTTTGGCTCCTAATATTTTGTATATTTGGTAAAATACTATACTTTTTTAAGATTGTATAAACGACGAATTTAATTAAAACAAGCTACAACACAGTTATTAATTTTTTGTTCTTATTTTATTTATAACTTTTCTGTTATATTTGTCTTTATAAATAATTTATCAATGACATAACAGTTTGAATAAAACTTTTGGCTGTCGATTTCGGTGAAATATTTTGTTAATATTTCTTTTTTTTGCATTTATGGAATTTGGGTAGAATTGTACAATGTAGATTATAACGAATTAGAAAAATCTTAGATATCTATAAAATATTTTTGTCTTCATATGATCATTTTAGTTGAGTGTAAGTATTAATTGAAGGAGCTATAGTATTAATTGAAACAATTTATTAACTGTTTGACATGTATTATACCCTATTAAAAATGTTATTTTACAGTTATGCCCATATCAGAAGAAGATTTGATAGCTGCCAAGATTCCTTTAGAATATAGAGATTATTGTGCTGATGTTTTTTTGGAATATAAACGTTGCTTTCTAGAAAAATTTCCTTTTGTAGTACTTTGTGCTGACACAGCTCACAAGTATAAGGAATGTGAATATAATGAGTGAGTCTTCATTAGAAAATATAGATAAGTTATTATTACTTAATGTGCACTTCCTGATTATAATTTGTGTATATTACAGCGACATATTAAGGGCCAAAGAATATGAAAGAGAACGTAGACTTCTGGTCAGAGAACGCAGGAAACAGAGGGCTATGGAAGCAGTGACAGCTTAGACTCCACATTCACTGAACATTGTTTACATTTAGATTACACATATGTGAATATAGATGATATATACATGAAATTTGCTTATAGAAGAGTGATTATAATAAAGAATTTAAGGTATAAATTGGTAAACAAAAATGTAAATATTTTTATTATTGTTTCTATTGTTGTTACTAATATGCCACAATTATTTGTATTGTTATATATAAGATATGTTAGATATGTCTTCTTTATTTATAAAAGAATACTTAATATTTGTCATTAAGTTGGGCAGAAGATATTAGTATTTTAATTTTGTATATAAATAAGTTATTATTGAAGCGGCATATTTCTTTACGTCCCTTTAAAGTTTAGACATTAATTACTTGGCAAAATTTCAAAACATTTTTACATATTTCCATTTCATATGTATGCGTATATACATACAGAAGGTTCTAGAGTTATGTTTTTTTATTGTATTTCTTAAACAGGTAAGAGTTTTCAAACCTTGCAAATAACTTATTAACATTTATTCGTCATATTACAAAAGAAATAAAAGAATTACATATTTACAGAAAGGTTCCATTATGCGTGGCACACCGTAAATAAATTACAACTTTAGGATGAGGTTCAATGATAAATTCCTAAACGAATTGTCGTATTATTAACTGTAAGAGTTTCAGCAGATTTGTTTTTTTCCACTCGTAGCAACGGGATGAGCATCTCTGCTCATTCCTCTGGAAGGGGTGTAATGGAAGAATCGATAAGGTAGAAAGTGCCTGTACTCTGCTGGCTTCCGAGCAAAGTATCGCACATGCTTGCAACGGAGGTTGTCCCTTATCGTAAACGTTCCGTTACTTCATTGTCTTCTCCTATAAAAAAGTAAATCGAGTGACACGTAACCCCAGCGAGTACATGGGTCCGAGAATCTTCGGCGAGCAACGAACTACGGACACATTCTCTCTATTTTTTCATTCTCAAACGTTGTACATCCATGTTGGTCAATATCTTTGTTACATATTTTGGATAAGTTAAAATCAATTACAAATCGGATATTATTGTTGTTGTTCGGTGATAATTGTTTTTTCTTGACAACGTAAATCTTGCGTTTACTATCGTGGTATTGAAATATGCGAGAGTTCGTCTTTTGAGTTCATGTACGGCAGCAAAACTTGATTACGGAATTTGATCTCATAAATTTATCAGTTTACAGCTTGTTAATTAGTGAGAGAAATTTCATTTTTAGAAATATATTCGGTGTGTGTACATGTACATGTGTGCTTATGTATGTGTGTCCCTGCTTCAGCGATAGGACGCTGATGTTCTTGATTCGCTGTCGCAAATTTCACTGTTCTTCTTTTATATTGTTCTCATATACAACGATGTGAGCGTATTTACTTATGATTTATCGTTTATGGGGTTACTTTTTAACACTCGAAAGTACGTATATAATAATAATAATAAAGATATAAATAAATGTAAACAAAAAAATTGAGCTTGGACATTCGTGAGATGAGCCATTGAAATTGCGCGGAACATTCATTAAATTACACGTTCATTTTCCATTTAAACGGATCATTCTTTTTTTTCTTTCTTATAAAAATCGACAATTATATCGCGTAACTGACTCAAAACGGGCAGTAAATTAAATAAATCCGCGAGGGTAATACCTTGTGGCGCTTACTAGGACTAACCTTATTATTTACAGTAATCTTAATTACAGATCCGGCGACATGTACACATACAATAAAAAAGAAGCACTAAATTAACGACACCAAGGACCGATCGATGTATCAAGTTACGTCGATTCTGGGTTTTCGATGCACTTTTTCGCGCGAACATAAACAGTTGAACGCAACGATCTCGATTGCTTTTACCGAAGATTCTTGGTTCGTTCTGACAAAGACGTCAATTTTAACGATAGCGTTACCCGTGTCCGGGTAACTCGAATACTCGGTCGGTTTTTTAAGTAACGAGTGCTTCGGAAGCCCTGGTCCGAGCTGTTCGCGAGACCTGAGATGCCCTGCAGATGATACAAGGAATAACGAGTGAACTCCTCTTTCATACGGAAGCAAGCTGTAAGCTCCATTCCAACGATCAGACGAACAGACGATCGAACTCACGAATCTAATTAAATTCTTTCTATATAATCTGTATCATACGATTTACCAACACGACACTAACCTTACACGGTTCTACTAGTATACGAGAACGAATTTCACTATACGATGGTGTAATACAATTTTGTAAATGCTTCTTTCCTTTTTTTAACTGACTCGTGATTTTCGATCGTGCATGCGCGACAGAGAGGTCGACGCGTTGGAGCGTATCGGAGGCAAATTTGGGATAAAGCGCGATAATGTCCTTCATTTATTCGTCCTTTAGCTCCTTCTTCGGTCTGTCCTTATTATATGCTTGCCGGTAAAAGTCGGAGAAGAGGACGAAGAAGATCGTTGAATGAAGCAAAAGAAGCGCCGCCACCAGCTTAGGATAGCCGCAATCGAAGACCAAAGCTTGAGCGCTGTGCACGAACACTAAGAAGAATTGTACCTGCAAACGAAGTGATGAATTGAATTGTTACATTATTTCGTATTAAGGGTGAGTCGAATTATCTATATTTTCTTTCAAACTATGTCTCGAAGTAGTAGAATTGTAGCGGCGTGCTATCCTTTCGAATCGTTTTAAATTTCTTATGTTAACCGACTTAAAATTTGGCGAAATCGTAGTAGCTTAGAAACGCTCATGCCTTTCTCCTTGGGAAAGACGAGGAGTGTTGCAACCCGAATTGTACCACGACGATACATACGCTACGCGCCATCTTTGAATTAATGGAATATATGTTATATACGGCAGTGCCAATGATGCAAGAACAATCTGCTATACCTTGCACAGATTGCGCGACCGCATGATCGGACAAAATTCTACCGAACAATGTGATGCAACGGTACCATTCGCGATAGATTAACGCGTGAAAAGTAGAATATTATTGCACAGCTGTGAAATGTGTAATTTCATGCTCACGAAACAAAATCACTACCATAAGAAACAAACTACATATTATATCAAAGTGGTAGTTATCGGTGCCTTTGTTAAGTAAAAGAGTCTGAGTCACCTATCCATTGAATCTCTATAAGAATATCATGATGAAAATAATGACTCTGGATATAAATGTTATTATTTTACCTATTTGTAAAATGTAATGAATTTTGAAAGGCTATCATGGACAAATTTTATTTCATCGCAGTGTCTTTGCTACGATACCTAAAAGTATGATTGCCTCTAAGGGTTAAAGTAAGAATCGTATTTCATTTGTATCTCGAACGTTCGATCGCCTCGCATCTCAAAATCACTAAGCGTCGCCTTTCGTTCAGAAGAATGTGTAAACGGCGTTCGTAACGCCACGTAGTTGGAAATGACGAACGGTTCGGAACATCCTCGTGGAGAATATTATCGCGAATGTAAACGAGGGAGAGAAGCGCGTGTCATGCGAGAAAGAACAACACGATTTGTCTTTTGAACGATTTGCGCCAGCTGCGCACGGGAAATCAATGGTGTTGCGAGATAAAAGCGAGGTAGGAGAGCATATACATAGGTGAGGTTTCGTAGGTATGCAGCCGATTCCTGGTAGCGTGGCGGTTGTTTCATGGTGATGGTGGCACGGTGCTATACGGCATATCGGAATGCCAAATTATTGCGCCACCGTGACGTAGTCGACCGAATCCGGCCAAAGTAAGTCAGCCTGCAATTGCTCAACGTTGTACTTTTCACTTTCCCTCACCCCTACCGCGTGTTTACGTGAAATTTTGTTCACCGGTATGGGCGAGTAGTTAATGATGGCCCAGAGTTCATCAAAGTCTCCGATGTCATCGATGTCGATCTTGTGCCATATACGACTTCTCTTTCCTCCGCTTCTCTGCTCCCGATATCAATTTTCAAAAAGATTCTCTCTTGATTATAATTTGAGACCTGCTAAGAGGCTCGCAGCGTTGACTTTCTTTCTGACACGAGGCTCTCAGTTTAATCAACACGTTGTTGCGGTATAGACAGTAACGAGTATCATTATAGTAGGCACTAATGACTATTTAATGGCTTCTATTGCAAGATTTTACTCGAGTACGCTCGAGCAAAACTTCAAGTTGTTGTTGAAATTAAAAGGCTGAATAAATTGAGTAACGTTACGATACGGCTTGGAAAACGTAAACTGCGCGAGAAGGTAACGAGTATATTGGAGAATTTGAAGTTCTTTCTAACCCTTTGAAAATGCAACAAAATGAAGAATTCAGAATGAACGATTTAGAGAATAGTTACTTCTTTACTCTTAAGATCTTCAGCGTTTCTGATATCTGATGTAAAATATCTACTTTCAACTTTCTATAAGAAATAATAGTTTCTTCAGTCTCTTCTTTTATACTGTGAAAGGGTCAAGCACTTGGAAGTATTGAGACATCTACGATGGTTACTAAAAAATTTAATCCCCGTTACTCTACAGTTTATCCGCAACAGCGTAGTCCATCTTGCTACTGGTGAACCAGAAATTTATATCGTTGAACATTGCTTTTTCTTTCTTCTAAACTACGTAAATTGCAGCAATGTCTCTCAACATGTTATCCGGTCGTTACGTCGTGAAATGTTTGTTTCGAGTGCATTTGCACCCTGCCAGTGGTGCGTACACGTGAACACTCTATATGACTTGTCGCCGCATCGCTCACTTTCATCGATGCAGATTATTATCTAGCCAGGCTGGTAGCGTACACGTTGTGCAAGAAGAAGGTATCGCGAATCCTGCTCTAAAAAGTATTTGTGTTGGTGCCTGTTTATTGCGCGATTCGAACGTGGTTACGTGCCCACATATTCTGGGAACAACGCGCTACCGAGATCATTTTTCAGTGATTAAAACTCACTATCTTTTCAAATACCTTGATATTTTCTTTTGTTTTCTTTATTAGCCAATCGATTAAAAATTTCATGATATTTTCAAATTTCTTTTCTTTTGTGTTTGCATTTGTGGTTTTACACATACTTACCTTTATCTTTCGCTAAGATAAAATGAACTCGTAGTTAATATGACATGAAGTGTAGGAAATTGCCAAGCGCCAGGGGCATATCCGCGTACAAAATGTCGCGATTCGTTGAGACGCATAACTAAAAGCCATTCACTTTAACGTAATAATGTTCTATTATCTGTATCAGTAGTTACAAGAAAGCATTATCTGCATCTTGAATTGCAGCGCAATAATTTCCTGGTTCGTTTCAACACGCTTTCGATCGTTGTTTCTGTAGAATCTTGCACGCGATCAGAGGTTTTGAGTCTTTCGCTACATTCCTTGATTATCGGTGTTCAAATATCCTGTTTCTTTGTGCTTCGTATGTAATCTTCTGAGAATCGCGCAAAAATTATACCACTTGTTTCTTTCTTCAAGTTCACGAATGATTCTTGAAGTTGGTGAAAAAAAATTTATTTTCTCCTAGATAATGCGCATTGTTTCGAGGCATGATATTGTACCAGTTGCTGAGTGTCTCAGAACGCTTCGTATAAAAGCAATTATGCGCATTGCTTGCATTTGTAATGGATCACCATCGTTATGTCGTATTATTTATTACCGATGATAAGTAAAAGAAATTGATGTAAAGAAATAGTGAAATGCAAGAATCATCCTTTCGTGATTTGGCCAAGCAGATACGAAGTAGATACACATTTATGAACATTATGTTTTGACTGTTTAAATTAGTACACCTACCAACTGCACGGTAGTGAGGTGCTTCTTCCACCATAAATATTTGTGGTATTCCGGTCCCATTGCAGACACCATATAGTACATGTACATTATTACGTGTACCGCGTTATTTATAAGGTTTCCCAAAGTACCGTGTCCTCCAGCAATGAATTTCACACAGATCCATGTCTCCAAAGGTGTTAAAGAGTGATGGTACAGGTGTAAGAACGTCACTTGACTGTCTTTCTTTCGCAGAACGAAAAATATCTGAAAGTTTATAAGATAAATTAAAAAAATTATGGTATTAATATTATTGCGGAACTACCGATAAAATAGTTTTGATAGTTGTCGTTTTCCATAAGCAGATAAAGAAGCAAAAAGTATTCTTCTCTCACTGCTATAAACAGACATTTGTTTTACTTTCATTAGGGTAATTCGTATAATGATAGTTTTCTCTGAAAGTTATCGAGTTTGGTATATATAGCGGCCGCGGTTTCATTAAAACCAATACTATAGACTACTATTTATCTTTCGTTTATCTTTCGGGCAGTAAATTGCTGTTTATAGTACTATCAATTATTCGCTACTCTTCTGGATGTTTCTTTTTTGAATATTTCTTGAAAACTTCGTATTTCAACAAGATTAACAAGAAATCTGACAACTACTTGTCACACTCGATGATTCCGCGTAATATAATACCACATATTTTTAAACCATCAGAAATCTCACATTTTTCGTGGGGCAACAGGCAAACGCACGATTCAATGAATAACTACTATGAGACGTAGGCAAATTACTTCACCGGAATATTTGATATTGTTAATTCGGCCGGATCTTATCTATTCGCGTAATTCGCATTCCCGCGTGCACCGTAGGTTAGGTTACTTTTTCCTGAGGATTTTATTCCGCAAGAAAAGGCTTAATGACTTAAGGCGCGATGATATTATCGCGAACAGTGATTTCTCTTGCGACATGGCTCTTTTCGAAGACGATCGTTGAGCATTGAACAATCGTGTCGATAAATAAACCAAAAACATCATCGCGTGTTGTAATGAAAGATCTATGGTGCAGCAGCTTCTGTTTCCGCCTCAGTGATCGATTTTTACGATGGATTGAGAAATTCGCAAAGAATTTAGTCTAACACCGGAAATTTTTTAATCGATGCTATGAGATTCCATAACTTCACAAATTGACAGATTTATAGCAATAAGAAGACAGCTCCAGTAATTCAATTATATTTATCGGAAGAGAAAGAAAAAGGTATAGGTTTTATATTCAAAAGCGCAAAAGTTTATTTCCAAGAATATTGGTTGATTATAAATTTATAGTGCGTTAGAAAAAGTGATTTAATTTTGATTGCCCCTTTTCAGATTTCTGTAAGTTTACTCAAATAACTGGAAAATGGAACTGTCTTCTTGCTGCAGCAGTTTTCCCAATTGTGTTTCACGCGGCCCCGTACATACCGTGTCAGCGAATTCTGTGAATTTGCTGATGAAATACCACCAACATAGGTTCGCCATTCGCAGCGCGGACGGATTGTGGGAGTAGTCCACTGGTTGACACTTGTAACTGTAGTCTAACAACCAACCAGACATCAGGTGCTATGAAACAAAAGTTCATGGTCAAGGTACATTCTCGATTGTGTCTTACGCTTGTGGAGGTAATTATGTGGTCGAAACAAAAACGCTTAGCAAACTCATTAATATTTATGGCACGTAAGATATTTATAGATGGAAAAAATGTATCAGTAACCTAAGAATATTCTTGTTCATTGTCTTACTTTCAATGACTCGGATATCAAGGAAATGTTGTTATTCGAGGTTTTTCAGTATAAGTCTCTTGGAATATTTGCTCTTCTATGATGTTGGAATTTTGGTGATATCG